TCTTCCTTCTTAATGGACACATTTTCATCTCCTCAGCTGGGCGAATTTGAAGAAGAGTGGCGAGGAGAGGCCACGCACCACGTATCCTAGAGGCGGAACCAGACTCCTGGAGTCCCAATCCTGGCTCTATCACTTATTAGGGATGTGACTCTGGGTAAATGTTTAATCTCTCTGTACCTCAGTTTTCTCATCTGTGCAATGGGTATGGCATTGGTGCATGCCTCATAGGATAGTTATGAGGATTGCATGCGCTTTTACCTGTAACCTATCCAGCACATAGTAGGTTCTGTATATGTGTTTGTTATCTAAGTACTTAAATTAAGAATAGAAGATTATTTGGCGTGGAGTGTGTGATTTCTAAGAAGAAAAAAAAAGGTAAAAGGTAATAAGGACTGGAAATAAAATCAAAGAAAGCCCCCAGAACATAAAGTAAACGAGTTTCAGTCCAATGCATAAGGCATGGTACCATTTGTGGGGGGGAAATCTACTTCTACAAGGTATGTGTCTGTACGTAAACTCACAGAAATGTGTCTGGCAGGATACTTAGCTCTCTAGAGGGGACAGACGGGCGAGGAGAACCTCTGTGTTATTTTCCACAGCTGAATTGTTACCATGAGAACATATCTATGTGTTCTTTGTTTTTTGGGTTTGTTTGTTTTTTTGTTTTTTTTTTTTGCAAATCAACGTTCAAGAACAAAGCCCCCAGGAAGCAATGAGGAAGAGTGGCCAGGTCCCCATCTGGGAGTGAAGGGAAGTCACAGAATAGATGACATCAGAATTGGATCTTCAAGGAGGCATCGCCTGAGGAAAAGAGACTGCTGAAGCCAGGGCAGCCAGAGAAGAAAATGATGTGTTTGAGGAAGGATCGGAATTTATCTGAGCAGAGTTCTGGCCTGTGTGGTTGGGCGGGAAGAGGAAGGGAGGGACAGGTCTGAGACTGGGCTGTGGGGATGGGTTTAGGGTCGGTGGGAAAGGGCTGCTAGACACACAGAGGGGGGTTGAACTTTGTGGAGATGACTTTTTAAGCCGCTATGGGGCATGATTACAAAAGAAGTATCCTTTGGCAGCCAGGTAGCAAGTGGACCAGACAGGTAGGGAATGGTTGCTTGGGGACTGGTTAAGGAGACTGCTGCACTGCCCCTGGAGAATTGCCCCGCAAATGACAGAACAGGGTCTGCAAGTGACAGAACAGGGTCTGCGTAGGGATGGAAGAAGGGCTGGGTTTTAGAGAGAATTAGGAGGAGGCATCCACAGTACCTGCCCTCAGCATCAACTCCCCATTTGTGTGGTAACTGTATCCTGCTTTGGGGGACCACCTTTTGTCACCTTTGGCCTCTGTGCTTTTGGCTCTGGGCTCCAAGGGTGGGACACAGGATGTACGTCATTAAGGCATTCTGCCTGCTTAGCCACCTTTCCTGGAGCGCATGATCCCAAGCAGGACAATCAGGGACACCAAGACCTATTCTGGGACATCCTGCAAGGCAACTCCCTCCTGAGACCAGGTGTGAGACAATGGGAACCTGAAAACGCTCAAGCCACCGTGTGCCCGAGGGAAGGGGAGCCTATGGCTGGATCTTGGCAGCATCCTTGGAGCCCCAAATGAAGCTAAACCTTAGCCAGCTGTGGCCACAGACTTCTCACAAGCCAGTGATTTTTTTTTTAAAGATTTTATTTATTTATTGACAGAGAGAGATCACAAGTAGACAGAGAGGCAGGTAGAGAGACAGAGAGAGAGAGGGAAGCAGGCTCCCCGCTGAGCAGAGAGCCCGATGCGGGACTCGATCCCAGGACCCTGAGATCATGACCTGAGCCGAAGGCAGCGGCTTAACCCACTGAGCCACCCAGGCGCCCCGCCAGTGATTTTTAAATTCAGTTCAATTTAATTTAGTTTGTCTAGCAGGCCTTCCCAACCGACCCTAAACCCATCCCCACAGCCCAATCTCTTGCCTGGGTGGCTCAGTTGGTTAAGTGTCCACCCTCAGCTTGGGTCATGATCCTGGGGTCCTTGCTCAATGCGGAACTTGCTTCTCCCTCTCCCTCTGCCTGCTGATTCCCCTGTTGTGTGTGCTCGCTCTCTCTCTCTCTCTCTCTCTCTCTCTGACAAATAAATAAGCAAAATCTTTTTAAAAAATTAATTTAGTTTGGCTTAAGTCAGTTTGAGTAGCATTTTCCGTTCAAACTGAACTGAATTAAGAGTATTCAGCGTTTCTAATGATTAGCCCTGGGAACAAAGAGCATCTCTGAAATCTATTGCTCTTGGTCTTCTGGTAGTAAATAAGGACAAAAAGATGTCCTTAGCCACTGTCAGGCCCTCTTAGGGAGAGGAGGATGTGTTGCTCTGATTTGCTAAGTTAACAGAATTTAATAAGGCTTTCGAGATTCTGGAAGGGGTGGCCCAGGCCTGTGTTACTACCAGACTTTGGGATTTCACAGAATTCAGCAGCAAAGTTACAAAGACAAATCTTAGGGTCCAAATTAGAATCCCAAGTGGTTTGTTGTTTTCGTTTTCTTTTTTTATTTTTTTTTATTTTTTTTTAAGATTTTATTTATTTATTTGACAGAGAGAGAGATCACAAGTAGATGGAGAGGCAGGCAGAGAGAGAGAGAGAGAGAGGGAAGCAGGCTCCCTGCTGAGCAGAGAGCCCGATGCGGGACTCGATCCCAGGACCCTGAGATCATGACCTGAGCTGAAGGCAGCGGCTCAACCCACTGAGCCACCCAGGCGCCCCTCGTTTTCTTTTTTTAAAGATTTTTTTAAAAGAGAGAGCAGGGGAAGGGAGAGGTATGGGGAGGGACAAAGGGAAAGGGAGAACAAGAGACTCTCAGGCAGATTCCCCACTGAAAGCAGAGCCTGTCCCAGAGATCATGACCTGAGCTAAAACCAAGAGTCAGATGCCCAACCGACTGAGCCACCCGGGCACCCCCAAAATTGCCAACTTTTAATTTTGGTAAGTAATCATAAAAGAATATATCATGAAATACCATAAAAGAAATAATATTTTTGCTCTCTGTCTCTCACGCACACATATCGACACATACACACACAGAGAAAGGATAACTTTCAAATAAAGCATATCCCTTTCCTTTTTTTTTTTTTTTAAGATTTTATTTATTTATTTGACAGACAGAGATCACAAGTAGGCAGAGAGGCAGGCAGAGAGAGAGAGAGGAGGAAGCAGGCTCCCCGCCGAGCAGAGAGCCCGATGTGGGGCTCGATCCCAGGACCCTGAGATCATGACCTGAGCCAAAGACAGAGGCTTAACCCACTGAGCCACCCAGGTGCCCCAGCATATCCCTTTCCAATGAAAACGTCCGGCGGGTTTGTAAAGGACACTACCTTTTTCTCACGGTTCTCTCTCTGTCTCAGGTACGAGAAAACTTCTTACCAGCAGTGCCTAGTGGAGAACGCTGTGCCCCTCGGTAGAGCCCACACCCGTCAGATGTCATCCACATCCCTGGGATAGGGTAAGTCTGAGCTACACAGGCCCAGGCCTAGGAGGAGGATTGCAGATCCCAGGGAAAGGCCTCTCTCAAGGTAGGGAGGCTCTGGCAAGGGAAGCCAGACAGCGAGAGCATGAAGCTCGGAGAGACTGGAGGAAATCTCGTTCCCACCACTGGAGGAAATCTCGTTCCCACCACTGCCCGAGTCCAGCCAGCCCTCTCGCCAGTCCACCACCTGAGTGGGGACCCCAGGAGCCCTGAGTACAGACTAGTTGCAGTGCTGGGTCTAGAGGAGGGTGCTGGGAGAGACTGGGGACTGTGAACAGTCAGGGTCCCACCTCTGGAGCAGCAGAGGCCTCGCTGGGGTTTCAGCATCAACAGAGACTGGGGCCAAGCTCCAGAGTGTGGCGTGGGCTGCTCTTTTGTGCCCTGAGGAAGAGTAGCTCCTTCAGCTCAGCTCAGAGAGGGGGAAGACATTAGCCTAAGGGTGACGGGATGGAAGTCTCGCCCCTCCACAGCCCCTTCCTAGGGCAGGCACTTACCCACCCAGTGAAGCAGGGTTCGTAGGAAGGAGACGCTGACGAGTCACCGTTAGCAGGCATGTGCACTGCAGTCATGCGGTAACTATCAGAAAGTGCTCCAACTTTCAGTCGGAGGGACCTGAACACCCCCGTTTTATAAGGGAGACTGGATGGAAGCTACTGGGAGAGAGCCAAGACCCTGGGGCAGGGCAGGAGGACAACCAGATGGAGGGGCCGGGGGAGAGTGAACAAAGCATGGAGGAAGGCCAGGGAAGCAGGCCCAGACAAGGCAGGCAGGAATGGACTGATGGGAAACACAGTGGAAAAAGTACTCTCTGCACCCCGCTCTGGACACGGAGTGTGTGTACGTGCATACACGGACCCGAGAGCTTGTTTCTCTAGTAGTAGGCTCTGCTCTTCCAGAGCATTCTCCCCGCTCTCTGCCCTTGTCAACTTCCAGGCCCTACCAACTCATCTGTCTTTGCCTTATCTCCCACCCAAGTTCCTGAGAAACCCAAAATCTAAGCTGCTCGGAATGTCTGTCTCCAGTGAGGCCCTGAAAACCATCATCTCCAGCCAGTCTACAACTCCCCTGACCTTGTACTAGGGGTCCATCAGCTCGGGCAGAGAAGAGCAGGGGTTCCAGCGGTCTCCGGAGCGGCCACCAACAGCTCAGAACACTTTGTGTCTTCTGCAAGAGTTGCAGCTTCCCACCGGGAGGCATACCCAATCCCAGCTCTGGAACTCCACGACTTCAAGGTCGAGTGAGGCTGTGTGACCTGAGATCCTATGATCCCATGCTCCTGGGGCCCAGACCTGCCCCCCACCATATCAGAGAAGCCAGAGGATGTGTGCCAAGTCATATGCACTGTGTTGTTTATTGTCCCATGTTACCCATGGGACAGGGGAGGGATGGGGAAGGGAGCCCTGGGGCAGAGAGAGACGGAAGGAGGGGGCAGTGGGAACCATCCATTTTCTGAACTCTGCCCTTTCTTCCAGCTGGTGATGGGTGCGGACTTGGCTACCAGCAGGACGCCGTCAGATACAAGCACAGTGTTGTGTGAGAAGGTTAGGCACCGTCTCATACTTGAAAGAGTAGCCGCCGTCTGTGGTGGTACGGACACGTAGGGACCTCATGGTCCCAGGGAGGGCAGCACAGCAGGGCTGTGCCCCTGGCAACAAGGAAAGAGGTTGGACAGGGGTGGGAGGAACCCCGGGCCCCGGCAGGGACAGGTCCAGTGGGGCAGACAGCCCACATCCCCCATGGCAATAATGGAAGATGAAACTGGGTGGGTATACAATCCACCGTTCCCAGCCCAGCTCCTGGAAGGAGATATTGAGCGCGGCTCTGTGACAGTCGGCATAGGAGGCAGGTTCCTCCGGAGGCCTCTGGAGCAGACGCAGAGCGGCGGGAGACCAGGGCCAGGGCAGCGGGGGAGTGGAGCGTCGGGCTCGCTCCCCCACACTGGGTGGCCTGGCCCGGGTGTGGGCCACCAGGAAGGGTGTGGTCTCGGGCCCGGCTGAGCAGGAACAGAGAGGGCAGCGGAGCAGCAGCACCAAGACCGGGTTGGTCAGCAGAGGGAGGGCAGAGGGGGCGAGGTGCAGCACCGCCCATCGAGGGGGTGCCTGGCCCAATGACATGGGCACGGCCATGGGGACCCCCGACGACAGCGCCAGCAGGCTTAGCAGGGGCCCAGAGCTATTGGAAGCCACTTTGCTCCGCCTGTCCAGTCCCGTGTGGAACCACAGGTGGGCTGAAGTCACTTGGCGGCTGCGCATGTGCTGGGATGGCCGGAACACGTATGTGAAGAGGCCGTCCTCCGCCTCCGGGGTCAGCTCTCTAGCCACTGGCTGGTCCGTGCACCTGGCACCTGCAGGAGACAGAGGGAAGGAAGAGGGCAGCCCCGACCGGGAGAGCCTGGGACCTCTCCTCTTCCCCAATGGCAGGGACGCGACTGCTGGCCACCAGCCAGCCACACTCTGAGCGCTCTGCCCACGCACAGAAGCTCTCCATTTGTTATTTCATCCCTAAAGGACTTAAAAAATACAAGATGTTGCCAACTTCTCTCCGAAATGGTTTTACCAATTAATATTCCCATCAGCCACGTATATAAGAGGCCCTGCCCGCCCTTCGCCAGCGCTTGGCATCGTTAGACCTAAATGTTTATTCACCGGTCATGTGAAACAGAATCTTGAATGAAGGTACCTTGAATACAGGGGCATTTGTTTTATTCCCCCAGATAGCTTTAAAAAAAAATTTTTTTTTAAGATTTTATTTTTAAGTGATCTCAACACCCAACATGGGGCTTAAACTCACAACCCCAAGATCAAGGGTCACACGCTCTCCTGACTGAGCCAGCCAGGCTCCCCACCCCATGTATCTTTTTATATTGTCAGAAATACTGCATGATACAGTCTTTAAAACAACTCCGGTTTAGGGGCACCTGGGTGGCACAGTCTGTTGAGCATCCTACTCTTGGTTTCAGCTCAGGTCATGATCTCAGGGTTGGGGGATCGAGCCCCCCACTGGGCTCCACACCAGCATGGAGTCTGCTTGATATCCTCTGCCCCTCCAGCTTGTGCTCTCTCTTTCTTAAAAAAAAAAATAAGTATTTTTTTTAACTCCACTTAAAAAAATAGGTTAACATTCAAAAGAAAAAGTGGCAGGGGTGGGGGGTTGGGAGGAGAAAGCATATCACTCAGGATAGAAGGCAGTGCTTTCTAAGAAAGGCAGTTGGCGTCCTTCCACGACAGGTACGAAGATAGGGGAAGGACTAGAGATTGGGACGACACTGTCCCACGCATTCTCTCATTTAAAATCTCACGATTGATCTATTCTGCGGATAAGGAAACAGGGTGACAAAGAGGAAGGGACATTTAACTACTAAGTGGCCAGGCTGGGATACCGCCCGATCCCAAAGCCGCCCTGAGTCACTGCGCTGCACAAAGCACAAGACCAAGGCACAAGGAGGAAGGAGCTCCTCTCTGAAGCAAAGGATAAGTGGGATTACGAGAAAGTCCACCTGGAAGAGGGCTTTACTGGTTCCGTCAGTGGAACTGCAAAACACACATATGGAGATAAAAGGCAATTTAAGAGAAAGTAGATTAATTTCCTGGAAAAGTTTCCCAACAAATCTTACCCCTGCATTTCTGGTATCTTTTCAAGTCTCAGCTAATTAGGACAAAAGAAACAAGGTTTGAAGTAGGGAGCAGAGGCAGAGGAAGAAGGAAGGGTGAAGGAAAGGGGCCCAGACCCAAATGTCTGTCTCTAGAGACTCTTGGTCTCCCAGATGAATGTCTCCCAAATGCCTCCCCTGAGCCTTGCACCTTTTCGCTTAATCCTGAGAGGTAGGCATTATTGCCCATTTTCGGGTGAGGAGACGGAAGATTCAACCGCAGACCTGTCTGGCCATGGAGCCCACGCTGTATGTACCACACTGCTTCTCCAAGTCGCCCTGCCGGTCCCCACCTTCATTACCTGTAGCTGGGAAAAGGATGGCCTGGGAGACATCCTCCTCCTCCCTGGGCTCAGAGCCCCTGCGCAGGAAGCCCCCCTGGGCATGTCTTCGGGGCAGACGCCTGCCTCCAGGATCCCCTCCTTCCCCGGCCAGTGTGGGGGGCCCCAGAGCATCCAAGAACAGGGCCCTCACCTTGGCCAGCACAAGTGCCCGGTCCAGCTCTGGCCCATGGCAGCCATGCCCACTCTTTGGGGACAGCAGCAAGAGGAGCAGGAGTGGCAGATGGGGCGACATAGCTCACCTAGCCCTGCCAACTGTGAACCCGCTCCCTGCCCTGTGCCCGTTCTGTCAGGGTCTGCTCCCTGCTTCCCCACTCTGCCCTCAGCATCCCACCTCGGGTCCTCTTCTACCCTTTTCATCCTGGTCTCCCCAGTCCTTCCCACGCCCTGCAATCCAGAGTGGCCCCTGCCCATGGCATTGAGACCTCCTATCTCTGACGCAGATGTCTGTGGCCCTGAGCCTTATCTTCCACTCCTGCCAAGTGTGTGGGGGAGGGGGCTGGTGAGGGTTTTCACCCCGAGTGACCTGACCCACACATACCACCCCTTCCCCTACTCTCTCTCTCTCTCTCTCTCTCTCTCTCACACACACACACACACACAGCCACATCCCTATACCCAGCACAGAGGTGACATCAGGTGGGACAGGAGCCTCAGAGCTGCGGTCTGCCAGCTCCTAAGAGTGTTATTCGTCGCAAAGACAGAATGCGACGGCCCCTCAGACCTTCTGGGGCCCCTTTCAACCAAGCAGCTGCTAGGCCATTCCTGGGGGGAAGGGCTGAGGCTGGGGCTAGAACTGGGGCTAGGGTGGGGGGCAGGTGGTCCCGCCTGCTCTAAACTTAGCCTGGAGGAGCCAGTCTGGGCTCTTGTCCCTCCAGCTGTGTCATCAGAGAATATTTTTGGGATTGGCAGCTGCAGGCGCCTCTGCCACTCAGGCCCTAGCCTGGCGGGCGGTTGGGGACCTGGCGGCTGGAGGTGGGAGGGAGGAGGGGAGAGAGGCCCGGGCTGTGGGAGGGGGCTGGGAAGAGAGGCTCTCCGGAGCAGGAAGCCAGGCCGCGGGCAGAGGAGGCTGCGGGGCCCCTCGCAGCAAAGGCAAACAGGAAGGACTGCCCCTGAGCGCTCGGCTGGGGGCCCGGGAATCGCCGCCGCCGCAGAGCCGCAGCTCCGGGCTAAGGGTAAGGAGACGAACCGGGAACCGGCGGCCGGGGGAGAGCTCCGCGGCCGGGCCCCAGCCGCTCACCCCCTCGAAGGCCCCGGCCGCCGCCCCCGGCCTCCGCGCGCCCGCCGCCCGCCCTTCCCCCGCGCCGCTGCGGGCTGGCCGCGACCGCCGCCACGATGAAGGCGGGCTCCGGGGATCAGGGGAGCCCCCCGTGCTTCCTGCGCTTCCCGCGGCCCGTGCGGGTGGTAAGTGGCGCCGAGGCCGAGCTCAAGTGCGTCGTCCTGGGGGAGCCGCCGCCCATTGTCGTGTGGGAGAAGGGCGGCCAGCAGCTGGCGGCCTCGGAGCGCCTGAGCTTCCCGGCCGACGGCGCCGAGCACGGCCTGCTGCTGAGCGGCGCGCTGCCCACAGACGCGGGGGTCTACGTGTGCCGCGCCCGCAACGCGGCCGGCGAGGCCTACGCGGCGGCCGCCGTCACCGTGCTGGAGCCACCGGCCCCCGAGTCCGAGCCCCAGCCCGCCGAGCGCCCGCTGCCGCCTCCCGGGGCCGGGGAGGGCGCCCCGGTGTTCCTAGCGGGGCCCCCGTCCCAGTGGGTGCTGCGGGGGGCGCAGGTGGTGCTGACGTGCCAGGTGGGGGGCCTCCCCGCGCCCGCGCTCTACTGGGAGAAGGACGGGATGGCCCTGGACGAAGTGTGGGACAGCGGCCACTTCACTCTCGAGCCTGGCCGCGCCGAAGGTGGCCAGGGCGTGAGCCTAGCGCTGCGCATCCTGGCTGCGCGGCTGCCGGACTCGGGCGTCTACGTGTGCCACGCCCGCAACGCGCACGGCCACGCGCAGGCCGGAGCGCTGCTGCAGGTGCACCAGCCCCCCGAGAACCCGCCCGAGGACCCCGACGAGGCCCCCAAGCCCGTGGTGGAGCCTCTCAAGTGCGCGCCCAAGACCTTCTGGGTGAACGAGGGCAAGCACGCCAAGTTCCGCTGCTACGTGATGGGCAAGCCGGAGCCCGAGATCGAATGGCACTGGGAGGGCCGCCCGCTGCTCTCCGACCGCCGCCGCCTCATGTACCGCGACCGCGACGGCGGCTTCGTGCTCAAGGTGCTCTACTGCCAGGCCAAGGACCGCGGGCTCTACGTGTGCGCAGCGCGCAACTCCGCGGGGCAGACGCTCAGTGCCGTGCAGCTGCACGTCAAAGGTACTGAGACGCGCCCCCCATCCCCGCCCGGGTTTCCCGGGCCCTGAGGAGGGGCCTCCGGCGCAGCCGCAGAGACGGTGGGGGGGAGAGAGGCGGAGTAGTCACATACCTTTTCCTGTCCACCTCCCACCCCCCAGAGATTCGGCTGTAGTAGGTCTCCAGGGTACCCAAGAACTACTTAGCAACACCCCTAAGTGATTCTGAGGCCTAGAGTGGAAAACGACCCTTTGATAAACGGCTTTAAGGAATGATTGATGGACCAGCCAAGAGGGAGCGCTTCTAGTCCAGTGGATTTCAGCCTTTTTGTTTTACTCCCCCTCCCTCAATTGAAATCCCATGTGGGGCCCCCACATAGGAGACTGATATAAGGAACATTTTAGGTCTAGGTCCAGATTTATACCATGTACTTATAAAACCTATCAGTGAGGACAATGGTGTTATTTTATTGAATATACACTGCATTCCTAACTGGGTCTCCTCGGTGAGTCCTGTGGGAAAGTCTCGGGCTGCAGGGAACACACTGAGAAACTCCTGATTCACACCAAAGGGAAGCTTGAGGGAGGAAACATGCCCTTTTACGAAACTGCTCTCCATGTTCGAAAGAAGAAGGTGAAGGAGAGGAAATTTCTATTTCACAGTTGAATCATCAACAATATTTCACAAATGCTTACAGTGCTCATAAACAGAAAACCCGAAGGGGGGGAACGCAGCCCCCCACTGGAAGGTAAACTCTCCATAATCGGAGCTCATCACAGCTGGAGGGATTATACCGTCACTAGTTATTACCCACCTTGTTCCCTCGGGGGAAGAAAAGTTGGCAAATCCTGCCAGCCCTGCCTGGTGCTCAGTCAGGCGTATGGTCCCTGTGTTGTCCTGCTAAGGTCTGATACACCCCAAACCCGCGGGGCCACACTAACTAACACCACCAGGAAGAGGAGAAGCCCAGTGGGAAGGCAGAGCTTGCCTACACCTTCGGGACAAAGTTGATGCCCCAATGGCCTCATAACCCACCGGTCATTTCTATCATCATTTCCTTTGGTAGAGTGCCGTTTTGAAAATGACGAAAGGACTTTTTATATATATTTTTCACTGCACTTTTAAAAAATCATTTTGTGTATTTATTTATTTATGTTCACCAGGATAATTGTACCCCTTGACCATCATCCTCTATTCTCCCTCCCGCCCTTCCCTCTGGTACCCCGCAGTTTGTTCTCTATACTTGAGAGTCTATTTCTTGGTTTGCCCCCCTCTTTTTTCCCCGTTTGCTCGTTTGTTTTGATTCTTAAATTCTACATACAAGTGAGATCATACGGTATTTGTCTTTCTCTGAGCGACTTATCTCGCTCAGCATTCTATTCTCTAGCTCCACCCAGGTGAAAGCAACTAAAGTACTTTTTTTTTTAATATATTTTTTAAGATTTTATTTATTTATTTGACAGAGAGAGACACAACAAGAGAGGGAACACAGCAGAGGAGTGGGAGCGGGAGAAGCAGGCTTCCCTCTGAGCAGGGAGCCCGATATGGGGCTCGATCCCAGGACCCTGGGATCATGACCTGAGCTGAAGGCAGACACTTAACGACTGAGCCACCCAGGCACCCCGATTAAAGTACTTTAAAAGAGAAATTCGTGGGACGCCTGGGTGGCTCGGTGTGTTAAGCCACTGCCTTCGGCTCAGGTCATGATCCCAGGGTCCTAGGATGGAGTCCCGCATCGGGCTCCTTGCTCAGCAGGGAGCCTGCCTCCCTCTCTGCCTCTACCTGCCTCTCTGCCTGATTGTGTGCTTTCTCTCTCTCTCTTTCTGACAAATAAATAAATAAAATCTTTTAAAAAAGAGAGAGAGAAATTCGACTCAGACCCTTGCAGAATTTGTGTAGAGCCCCAAGAGACCCCAGGGAACAGCTTGAAACTCACTGATGGGATCCAAGCCCTTCCATCCCTTTCCCAATTTAAAGTCAGGAAACTTGAGTGGCTGACTCTAGATTTTGGCTTTGGTCATAACCTTGGAGTCCTGGGATCAAGCCTCACATCCCGCATCAGGCTCTGCGCTCAGTGGGGAGTCTGCTTCAGGATTCTCTCTCTAAAATAAATATGTAATTTTTTAATGAATATGTATTTTTTTTAAATAATAAAGTCAGGAAACCAAGGCCCAGGATCACCAGAATGGCCTTGCTCAAGGTGATGTGGCTGACGAGTGTCAGGGTCAGACGAGAATTTAGGCCCTCTCACTCCCCTTCCGGTGGTTTTCCTGTGATTCCAGAACCCCTGCAGGCCCCGGGAGAAAAATGGCAGGAGCTCATGTGGGTTTAGGCACTTGATGATGCAAGGAGTCCTTCCCCTGGCCGGGCCCCCTCCACAACCTTTTCCTGCCTCTCCCCTCCACACAGAGCCCCGCCTCCGCTTCACCAGGCCCCTGCAGGACGTGGAAGGCCGGGAGCATGGGATCGCCGTGCTGGAGTGTAAAGTGCCCAACTCTCGCATTCCCACGGCCTGGTTCCGCGAGGACCAGAGGCTGCTGCCCTGCCGCAAGTACGAGCAGATCGAGGAGGGTACCGTCCGGCGCCTCATCATCCACAGGCTGAAGGCAGACGACGACGGTGTCTACCTGTGCGAGATGCGGGGCCGGGTGCGCACCGTGGCCAACGTGACCGTCAAAGGTGGGCTAGCCAGCGGGAGGATGCCGGGGCGGAGGCCAGCCCAGACCCCCGGCTGAGGGATTCACATGCCTATCTCAGGGCCCATCCTGAAGCGGCTGCCCCGGAAGCTGGACGTCCTCGAGGGAGAGAACGCTGTGCTGCTGGTGGAGACACAAGAAGCTGGGGTCGAGGGGCGCTGGAGCCGCGATGGGGAGGACCTGCCGGCTACCTGCCAGAGCAGCTCTGGCCACATGCACGCCCTGGTCCTTCCAGGGGTCACCCGAGAAGATGCTGGCGAGGTCACCTTT